CCCCCTGCTCATTGCCTGTGTAATTTTTTGTTGTTATTTCTTCTTCCCCCTCCTCCCTTCCTTTCTCTCTTTTGGAGGGTGACAAGGCTATCTATTAACAATGCATAACACAGTGATCCAGAAGAATTAGCTTCGGATTTGAGTTCTGCTGATGGAAAATGGTGATGTGGAAGAGGTTACTTCTTAACAATTTCTATTCTGGTTTGGATAATAAAAGCTTTTCTAGCCCAGCACTCTTGCTCCATCATTGTTCAGTAGAAAATACTTGGGAAACAGTAAAGAACCAGGCTTGGCTACAATTTGTGATACATTTTCCTAGGTTCTTTCAGTCACCAAGGCAGGGTTGTCCAGAGCTGAACATTAGATCCAGACTGTTACATCTGGTAGCAGTCCATAAACCAGTCCTTCATAAGGATCTAGGTATCTAAGTGTAGTCTGACTTTACTGCTCAATGATTTTTTTTTTTTTAATTGTCTGGGATCATTAAGTTACTGATCTTATTTGGAAACAATTCTAATCTACAACAACAACAACAAAAGACATATACTTTCTATTTATATTTCTATTTAAAAAAAGGGTGAAATTTAAAACTAATTAAAAATATTGATCTTTATGGAAAGCTTTCTCTTGCTTGTTATGAAAAGCAGGATAGAGAATGAATGACAGCAAGAAAGCAGAGGTTAAGTGTTTTCTTCTTTGCTAAATTGTTCTCCTAAAAGCCAATAGAAGAGCAAATATATACAGAAGGATGAAATTCGGAGTCAGAGACAGTCTCCCAAGGATCAGCATGGAAGTATTTCTTAGGCATGAATGGACTGGATTGTGAAAACCAAAGTGCTGCTTGAGTTGAAATTTCTGGAGTTATAAAAGACAAGGAGAGGTTTCTACAGGCACACTGGTAGCCAATTGAAGACCAGGAAAAATGTAGGGCTGCTGGGTGGTCTAATGATAAGGAACATGCAAAGAACTAACACTCTTAGGACTTTATCCCAGCCTTTACAGACAAGCTGTGTTTAGTAGAGGAGGATCAACAAGGGACAAGTTAGTTAAACTGGGCATATGAAGTTTGATACAACAGGATGGGATGCATCTGAGAATGCTGAGGGAGCTGCTTTATGTCATTGTAAGGCCATTTTGTCATTGAAAAATCATGGCACATGCCTGGTAACTAAAAAAAAGGCAAGTGTGACATCTGTTTAGGTGCAACAGTCTTTGAGATATTTTCTTGCTAACTTTCTTCAACAACAGGTAGACATATATAATCACACGAGGATTAGTATCAGGTTTTTTTTCTGCACTCAATTATAACGGAAAAAGAAAAGGAAAAAGTTATGCTGTGTTCTTTCAACTTTTAGAAAAGTTTTATTTTGTTTCTATCCAGACTTGATGCTTATTCTCAAGTATAACGTCTCCCAAGATGAATGCTGATTTTGTTTCGTAAGATTTCTTACCACACTCTTCAGTTAAGTCTTAGTCATAATACACAAGAGAGTATTAGAGACTGATGTCAAGCTGCAAAGTGCTATAAGCATGACAAATCTTCACTTTAATTCTCAGGATTGATCTCCTTTTGAAGAGGTGTGATTTCCTTTTGTCTCTTCCCTTTGGCACTTACTGACTTGGGAATGTTTCATATTTTCTCCTTATTGAGTAGCAAATGGCATCAAGTACTATTCCTAAATAATTTTTTCAAAAGCCACTTTTACAGCAGGAAGCAATTAGTGTGCCAGCTGTGCAGATATATTGTTGTTTATTTTATAAAAGAACCAACCCAAATATAAAAATAAAAGCACTGAAAAATCTGTAAAAACTTTTGGGTCTGTCTCCATCTACCTGTCTCTGAACATCTAAAAAACCCAGGTCAACTTGGATTTTTGTTCTGTTTGCTGTAGAGGTACATGAAGACTCTGAAACTGGAGTAGGACTCATAAAAAGAATAAAGAATTTAATTACTTTAGTCCTTCATCATTTATATGTAATATGCACACATTGTTGAAGGGGTTATAATATGTTTATTGGAAATTGTTCTAATTATTTTTCTTAGTATATATTATTATATTGGTTTTCTTGGTAAACAGAGAAGTAAACACACTTTTTTGAAATCCAAGAAATGGTTTGTTCATATTTGACCTTGGAGTCCTTGACTCTGTAATGAGCAATTATGCCAAGGGGAAAAAGCTAAGAAGTGAAAGTCAACATCAAAAAAATAAGAATGTAAATGACTAACTGAGTTAACAACAGAAAACCAAGTGGAAGTCCCCAGTCTAGTTTACATAGAATAATTGATGCCTCTGAAAATGGATCACTGCAAATTTGACACTAAAGTATTTTGGCTGTTTAGTCCAATATATCAGCAGCAATACCGTATCATAACAAAATATTGCAAACTAAATTCATTCATATCCTTAAAGTCACGTCTATGCCCAGGCATGAACCAGAATGTGCAGGTAAGTGACTCAGCCTCAAGAATGTTACTGCCTAAAAGCTGAATACTTTGTCCCTTTGGAATGATTCAGTGTAAACTTAGGAACCCAGAGTCTCCTGGCAGTCAAGGAAAGCCATTAAGCATTTCAGGGGACTGGTCCTGGGAGTCCTCACATTGCAGAACATCACTTACTGTGAGTAACTTAAACAGGGGCATGTGACCTAATTCCTTCTTAGTTTGCCATAAATGGCTATAACAGAATGTTCTGAACACTTCAGCACAGCTCATTCTTTGTAAAAGTCTGTGCAGAATAAACATACTGTGTTACAGTAGCTGTTTTATGAAATCTCTAACCCAGGAAGACAGGTTGTCTGGACTGGGATTTTAGTTCCATACTAAAACATCTACTTTTAGGTGTCTAGATGGGAGCTAGCAGCTTCATTCAGTTGTCTAAATATTCAGCTGGCTCTAAAACAGATTAAAAAAAAAAAAAAGAAAGGTAATTAGGTACCTAAGGGAATAACTATTTTTCATGAACAGAAGCAATCTGTAGCCCATTAATTGCATTGACCAGCTTACTATTACCTATAATGGGGGCTTAGATAGTGGCCTGCAGCTGCACAGACAGCTAAATTCAGTTTAACTCTGCATAAGGTTTCCATTTTCTGCTCAGCCTGAAGCGATGCAGGTCTTGTTCAGCTCCTTCTACACAGGAGACTACCCTACTAATCATGGGCAGTTCTAGGTCAATGATGCAAAGAAAAGAAAATCAGGGGCACGGGGAGTGGGGGATCTGGAAAGACTGTTGTTCTGGCAGGAAAGCCTGGCTCTTAGTGTCAGTAAGGGAAAGGGGTTACATGTCTGCATTTAGTCATTAACACTCCCTGCTCACAACTTGGAGACCATAGGTATGGTCTCTAGTTTGATACTGCATTGCTTAGTAATCCAGTGTCTCTCTCATGTAGATGGCAGGCAAAGACCTGGGAACAGAGACAGATCTCCACTCACTGTCTTGTCCAAACCAGCAGAGTGTAGAATCCCTTTAATTTGATGTCTTCTGTGTTTCTCCCTGCCACTGCCCTACTTCTTACACATCCAGTTGAAAGAAGGTGGGATAGAATATAGCCTGATCCACTCTATGCTGTAGTTTGGTAGTAAACAAACTCTCCTGGGATGCCAGTGGTGATAGTTTAGAGATCATGAAATTCTGAGTAAGTCTCAAAGCAGAATCCTACCCTTAAATTACCTATTAGTCTGAGATTTTGGAGCTTAGTCTATGAACTTTTTCCTGTAGCAGGTGAAATATTTCGAATGATATATAAGAAAGCCCTCGGGTAAAAGATACATCATGAATAAATGATAATGGTCAACACAAAAGTCTATTCACAGGAAGTATTATCAATCAATATGAGTGACTACTGAGAGAGATTTAGGGCTGAGACTTTCAAAAGAGCATGAGCAATCCATTTCCCCTCAATTTTCAGTGAGAACTGAGGATATATATATAACTTAAACCTAACTGTTTTAAAATCCTAGCCTAAATCCTCAGCAGACTGAAAAATAGAAGATTTGATATTGCATCCTGCTGCTCATAGAAATGGTCCAAAGTTGATGTGTGTATTCCTTGCTTTATCAGACCTTCCTGCATCTTAATATCTCTGGAGAACTGATTCTGTCGGGACGATTCTGATCCTGACCAACCGTTGCCATGGTATTGGGTTATTCTGGGCTGTGATCAAGAAGAGCAAACAAACTTGAAAAAGAAATAGGCTTTAAAGCATATTCTCAAGCCACAGTGTCTGAGACTAGTGGCTTGATTTTTTGTACAATGTACGATTTTTTGTACAATATACAATTTTTTGTACAATACTTCTGAAAAAAAAACACACCCATGACCAGTAATGTTGCTGCTTCAATACATACGTACATAAATAGAGAAAAATGCAGGAGGAGAAAATTGGGCCAATTCTCACACTATTTGAAATAGTTCATTTTCATTTAATGGTATTATCCTATACCGAACTGAAACCCCCAGCTTTTCTCAGAACATTTGAAAGAGCCGAACTTTTTGCAGATTATATTCCTGTTTTACTAGGCACTATTCCAAAGCTGGTGGGAGACAATGAATGTCTTTTTGATATTACTGAGCTTTTGAATTGAGTACATAATAAGGAATGTGTACCTGTCTTCAATCCCTAGGTAGCAATAGAGCTCTTCTCTTACACCTGTTATTATTCATTCAACGGCAAGTATGTACCAAAAGTGTTACGTTAGAAGGTTTTGGAAATATATGAGGCAGTATTTCCTGTATGCAGGCACTGGCATAGTAAGTTCATATTTTTTGAGAACAAAGTTCCCTTGATGAGAAAAGTAAAAACAAAGTCCTAAGAGACATCCTGCTGGTGTATTATCCATGATGATGACCCCAGAAGGATGCACAAGTTTTAGCAAGCAGTATTTAAAACAGTAAAACAGTGTGAAATTATGTAGGGAATGAGGAAAATTTTCAGCAAGTTTGTTTTTTACAAACAGATAATTTTGTTTGCTGAATGACTATCTTCTTCCTCTTCTATAGGCAGAATTCACAGCCATGAGGGACCAGTACATGCGAGGTGGAGAAGGCTTCATTATCTGCTATTCCATCACAGACCGCCAATCCTTTCAAGAAGCTGCTGAGTTTAAGGATCTCATTTATCGTGTCCGGCACACCTATGACATCCCCTTGGTGCTGGTGGGAAACAAAATAGATCTTGAAGAGTTCAGGCAGGTAAGCAATTTCCCTGTTGCTTTTGGCTTGGTTTTCCTTGTCTACCTCAATGATTTCTGTAGCATTTGTTGTATAGTACAACTGAGAATTATTAGCACAAGATCAGGTTTAATCAAAAAGCAACACACTAGGACTGGTAATAAATTAAGGACTTATCAGTAATTTTCATTCATATGTTACAGATCTTAAAGAAGATTTCACAGCCTTGAGATATTCTTTGTTTTTACTTTGAAAGAAATCCCATTTTTTTTGTTAAAAGTTATATATGTGTTCAGAATGGAAAAGATTCAGTCAGGATCTTTGCGTCAAAAATCCTCTATATTCTTTAGAAATTACTAGTTTTAATTAAAGCTTTTTTCAAACTCAGATTGAAAAGAATTCTAGTAAAACAGAAATTATAATCTGTGAAATTATCTTTGCCTGAAAAGCCATTAGGGTTTTCAGATAAGATGGGGAAACACAAGACAAATTCACTTTGATTTGTGTACAAGATTTGAGCTACTACCACCCATAGAGCAGTAGATTTCTTTCACCATGAGAGCACCGTGGCTTTTCCGTATTCTTTAGCAATCTTTTCTCACTCATTTCCTTTTGGTTCCTCTCTGCTTCCTCCTTGCTGTTTGTATTTATGTGTATGTGTGTGCAAGGGAATGAGTCAGACAGACACCATCTACAAATGGGTTGGTTTGTGAGGCAGTACCAAATGGAAAATACCTTTAATCTTAAGCTTCAAAAAGATTAAAAACCCAGTTTTCCTATCTGGATCTCTTAAGAGGCTCTTTATACACACTGTGATTCCTTTCAAATGGCTGGTTTCTGTGCAGACATATGTAACAGTTAAAGAAAATGATGTTTTTCAGTTCATTAGCATCTGTGCTCACATGATCCTGCCTACTCTTTTCCACTTATCCTGTCATTCTTCTCCCCATTTCTTTGTCTTCTTTATTCTACCTGAAGAAAATCCACGGCAGTGTTAAGACTGAAATTACCCCAGAAGATCTGATGATGTACATTTTAAACTTCACATCTGTTTCCAGATCATTGACTTTCTCCCAAAATCACTATGACAAAACTTTAATGGTAACAATCCAGCTGCAGTTTAACATGCAGCTTGAGGCTTCCAACAACAATGCCATGTGTATCATGCAGTAAAATCTGTGCAGCTTCTGGGATACTTATATACCAGACAGGGACAAATGTGGATTCAGTTGTTCTGCTGAGAGAACATGACATTACATACAATTCCAACAGAAATGGGACATGATTGATTAACAGAAGTTACCAGAGGTTTCCAGGAATATTCTATTCACTAAGTGATTTGAAGACTCTATTTCAATGATATTTGGCACTACCTCTTTCTGATCTTATGTTTTGTCAGGCTTTCATATTTTAATCACTGTCAGAGCATATGCCCGATTTAAGCGTTTTACATGCTCCTTGATGATCTTGTCTGGTCTTCCAAGCAGGATAATTAGTGCGCACCAATGTGTGACTTGGATACCACAAACAGTACTCAAGTTTAAAAGGCATGGAGAGGCTCTGGGGAATGAAATAATGTCTTTGAGACACAAAAAAAATGTTATACCAGGTAGTTACTGAAGATTCTGCCTGAACTTGTATCAAGGCAATTCCAGTTCATGGTCCTGTTGTTTTTTAGAAGCTTTTCATAAACCAGAATTCAGGTCTTCAGAATTTTTTCCTCCATTAATCCTTTACAACTGTCAACAGGTACAGAAATGTCAGACATGGAGGTACACAAACATACAAATTTAAACAACTGAGAAAGAGTAGGTGTCAGAATGCAATTAACCAGATGATTGGAATTTGGCCAGGGAATCAGGGCTAATATTGTTGGTCTGTTTAACAACATTTTTCCCCTATGAAATTCATTAAAGCTACTGTAATGTTATTCATGGTATTTAGAAACATAACATTTAGTTCAACATTCCCAAGCATCATTTCCATTTAATGACAATTTTGCAACAATCATACAGGCTGTAGTAGCTTGGTCAGACAAAGCTCTTATTTGAAATGTGGTCCCCTACACAATACAATTAATGATGTATGTGGCTTGCCTCAAATCTATCAACAGGACTACAAAAATAAAACTAATCTGCAATTAAAATTTTGCGTTAGGAGACACATTACTGAATAACAAAACCAACAAGCTTATTATTTTTAAATAATGGTTTTATTTTCTGATGGCTTCAGTGAAATTATTGTTGTCTTTAAATACTCCTCTCATTTTTAATGTTTTAAGAATTGGGTTTGTCTGCACTCCTTAAAATAAGTTCTAATCATATTCATCAACCTAAAGAATAAACACTTTCCTTTTTCTCTGAAACAATGTTGGGGAGCAACTGTATAAA